AATGGGTATCTTCTGGAATAGAAACAGTATATTTGGAAGAATCATCATCTTAATTGCGTTAATTCTCCCCACCCAGGAGAGTTTCCGTAGGGAGAATGTGTTTAGTTCTTCTTTAGACGTATTTATTATGGGTATATAATTAGATTAATATAGCTTTATAATATTAGTAGTTAGATATGTACCCAAATATTTAAGAGTCTTCTGTTTTCAACGAAAAGTGAAGTAGGGGGTCAGTGCCTGTCTCTCAATTTCTGGGAGTGATATGTTTAAGATTTCCGATTTATCTAAATTTATTTTAAAATTTGAGAGTTCCCCATAAACCTTTAACTCTCCCAGAACCTGAGGTAGCATTGTTCTGGGGTGTCTTATATATAGTAAAATGTCGTCTGCATATGCAGCGACTTTAAATTCCCCGGCCATTGTCCTTATCCCCTGGATATCTTGATTTAAGCGAATTGTAGCTAACAAGGGTTCAATAGATATAGCGAAAAGCAAAGGGGAAAGGGGGCATCCATTAATTTTCACCCTTGCCCGTGGGTTAACATACAACACTGATATCCAGTCTATTATCCTTTTCCCTATGCCAAGTATAGACAGAGTTTTAAACAGGAAACTCCAGTCTACCCTGTCAAAAACTTTTTCTGCGTCAATCGACAAAAGTATGGCTGGCTGCTTCTGTCGCTTTGCCTCGTGTATTAATGAAATAGTCTTTAGGGCATTATCTCTCGCCTCTCTTCCCGGGACAAACCCCACTTGATCTGGATGTATCCAGGAGGAGACAAATGGACGTAGCCCACTTTCTAGGATTTTCGCATAAAGCTTTGTGTCTACATTCATAAGGTATATTGGGCAGTAGCTTGCACACAGGCTAGGATCTTTCCCCTCCTTTTCTATTACTGTTATATGCGCCAGTAGTGCCTCCGGGCGCATTGGTGTGGTTTTTCCTATGTCGTTCACATATGTGCAGAAATGTTCGGATAGGATGTCCTGAAACCGTTTAAAGTATAATAAGGTAAATCCATCTGGTATAGGGCTTTTACCTGTTGGAGTTGTCTTCACTGCCTGCTTAAATTCCTCTGGGGTAATATCCCTCTCCATTACATCTAACATTTCCTCTGATATTATTGGAAGCTTTGCCTGTTCCAAATATGTAGTGATTCTTCCTATCTTATCTAATCCCACTGCCCCAGTACCCTGCTCAGGGGGGTCCCCTAGCTGATAAAGTATTTGATAGAAATCGTGGAATGTCTCCGCTATATCCGTTGTAGAGTGAACCATGGTACCCATTTCAGATTTAATTTTGGCTATATACGTTTTAGATTGTTTATTCTTTAATGCTTTCGCAAAGTTTTTACTTGATTTATTCCCCATCTCATAGTGTTGTCTAGCAGTTATATTAAATGCATATTTAGTGTCTGCTTCCAGTAATACTTTTAATTGCTCCCTCTTCATAAATAATTCCTTCGAGATTTTTAGATCTATTGTGTGCTTTATGGGTTGCTTCCAGCTGTTGGATCTCTTCTTATAAAGATTGTATGTTCCGGGTCCTCTCCCTCTTATGGGTGTCCCCCAGTGCCACTAGCTTGCCTCTAAGAACAGCCTTATGAGCCTCCCATATACCACCGGTGACATTCCTTCTGTACAAGTACTCCCGTTCTGTTGGATGGAGTATTCTCCAAATATCAAGTTGATATTTACTAAATACCTTTCTCAGATGAGCAAGATGGGAGCTGGGGTTGCGTACCCTACCAGTGGAAGTATCTAATATTTTTCTATCCAGACATACATTGAAGTCCCCCGCCAATACCAATATACCCCTCTGGAAGTCCCCTAAACTTTTAATCACCCTCAAAAAGAAAGGGACCTGCAGCCTATTGGGGACATAAACATTTGCCAACGTATATTCCGTTCCATTAATGGTTACGCGAAGAAACAGATATCTTCCCTCCGTATCTGACAAGCAGGAATGTACCTTTACCGATAAGTTTCTTCTAAAGCCTATGGCCACTCCCTTGGAGCGGTTATTGTAGGCTATAATACTATTGTATATAATCTCTGGAATGTATATAGGACGATGATGTATAAGAAAAATGTGTTTCCTGTAAAAAAAATTACATCTGCCCCATATCTTTTCATTTCAGACAGAATTTGATATGTCTTATGTGTCGAATTTAACCCCCTAACATTGTACGTCATTACATTAACTGTTGCCATATGTGTCTTGGGCGTATCCTCTTGGTCCCTTCTAGAGCCTAAGTCCCTTATAGCCCCCCGAAAAAACATACACACAACCATATTACATCCCACACAGTCACCACTCCTCTTCAAAACCAACATTTCCCGCCCCTATATTAGCGAATAAGGGTCTCGCTTGTGGGACTATATCCCCTGTGTACCCTCCGCCTAATATGGGTATGGAGCCTACTCAGACTGCGATCTGGTGAGCATCTCTCCTCCCTCCTCCTCATAGCTCTTCCTCGGCCGTTTTACTCCATCACCCCCAGGTCTATTTATCTATATATAATAGCTTATTCATATAAATAACCATTTGATTTAAAAAGAAAAAAAAGGCCAAAAATAATCAGAAGGAATAGAAAAAAATAGGTCCATTTAGTCTGGAAGACAAAGTTCTATATTCTCATAATATTCCCACTATGTGTTCCTACAGGGGGAGCGAGCTAGATTGTAGTTGTTTCCAATTCTCCCCCCTCCCGAGTCTTCTCATAGTGTTCTAACTATACCTAAGTAGTCTCTACTTTGTCCTTATTTTTTTTTTTTTTTAATTCTTGTGTTTATTGAACATATCAAGTGTAAGGTACATATAGAGCCAACATCAGCTCACAAATGTCAACTAAAAGGTGGACGCAGCCACCAACATCAAGCAGTTAAGGCATACATTGTGGTAAAGAAGGAAATAACCAAAATATCCTGCATATCAGCGGTGATTGTCTACGAACCCCCCTCGCTTTACCAGCCGCCTGGAGTCGAGGGGTTCGGTGATATGTGAGTTTGATGCTTTGATTTTGAAGCCACATGTATTACATTTACTATAAAACATATATAAGAATAAGACAGTACAGCGCTCCTATGTTGACCGTCTGGGTCAGCAGGGCCCTCCCGGCCACCCACTAACCCTATCGACACTGTAAGAACGTAACCTTGATGTGGAGCTATAGGGGGGGAGTAGAGGGGGTAGAAGGGTAGCTGACAGAGGATAGGAGAGATGCTCCAAAAAGGGGGGGTTTTCTCTGCGGAATCATCTCAAAAGATCCAGGTATTCCTGAGATGCAACAAATTTGTTCCAATAAAACCATGTTCGGCAGAACCGGGACACTGTATCCTTGATGGTGCTGGTAAGGTCCTCCATTAGTTTGATATCGTTGATCTTACTAAACCATAACTGGAGGGTGGGAGGTGATGCCTGCTTCCACATGGCTGGAATACATGCGCGGGCCGCGTTGACTAGATGAATAGTCACCGAGTTCCTATAACCCTTCAAGGGCCGTGAGTTATGGTGTAGCAAGAAAAAGGAGGGAGAGTTTGGTATCTGGGAGTCTGAAAATTTCTGCGTGATGTCCGGCACCTGCGACCAAAACGACTGCAGGGACAGACATGACCAGAATATGTGTAGCATGCCTGCGGGGGAGGAGCCGCACCTCTGTCCTTATTTTTTTGGCACTTATGATTCAGATAAGTCTTCAGTTCCACTCTCGGATCTATCCATCCTGGCAACACTGGGGGGTGATTTCTAGTTTACCACAAAACTCTATTAATTCCTCTGGGAAACGCATCACTGCTGTCCTGCCTTCTCTGTTTGCAATAAGGCATGCTGGGAACCCCCATCTGTATGGAATATGTTGGTCTTGTAATATTTGCACCAATGGGCCCTCCTGCGTGCTAGAGTCTCAGGTGCCAAGTCCATAAAAGTCTGTAATTTAACGCCATTTATTTCCAGCTGTGCTGCATTTTTCAAACGCTCCATAATTTGAGCCTTATCCGCATAATAGTGAAATCTTACAATTACATCCCTTGGACTCTCTCCTCCCGTTATCCTGTGACGTTGGGCTCCGTGCACTCTATCTAAGATCATCTCCGCCGGTGGGGGTCGCTCTAACAGTGTATTAAAAGTCTCCTTAATTTAATCTCCCAATTCCCGGTCTCCCACTGCTTCAGGAATACCTCGGAGTCTTAAATTATTCCGTCTATTTCTATTTTCCTGATCTTCTATCTTATAGAGTGCCATTCTAATGGATATTTCAGTAGTTTTACTCTGTTCTTGTAGCGCCTTATTTGCTTTCTCATGCTGATCTAGACGTTCTTCCGTCTCCTCCACTCTTTTTAACACCTGAGATAATTCAGATTTGATTGTAATAATCAATAATCAAATCTGTCTTTATTGAATCCTCCATTTGTCTTAGCATAATTGTCAAATCCCCTTTTGTGGGTAAAGATTGTGCTAAAGTATGTAAAGTTATCTCAGTACCTTAATGCGATTCCTCTGATGTCCCCAACGTTGCTGGTGAGGTGGTTTGGGAGGTAGTTTGTTCCTCTATTGCTTCCCTTGTCAGGCCTCCTTTGTGGACCCGGTCCGGGACTCCCTCCGTTGCTCAAGCGGTGTCAGCTGCTCACGTCCCATCGCCGTCTCAAGCAGGCTCCACCCCCCATGGTCATGTGGCTCTCACCATGAAGTCCGCCTCAGGCAGGAACACCTGAAAGGAGCTCCTACTACAAATCCATATTGACTCCTTTAACACTTTGCAACATAAATGGCTTTTTAATAATATCTGATACAAATATCAGCAGTTGGAAGAATAAAGTAATACATAGTTTCTTGACATAAAATACTGAGCTGACAGATTGACATTGTGCAATAATGTAAATAATTATAAGCAACTTTACTACAGTTGCTCTGGTTCAACTAATCACGTGATTTTAAATGCCCTGCAGTGTTGTTGGTCTACTGATTCTAATATTGTTCTTGTGTCTTCTGCTCCCTGCAGTATAGCAGACAGAGTGGAGCTACGGAAGAAGATGAGCTGTAAATCTTTTCAGTGGTATCTTCAAAATGTCTACCCTGAGCTAAAGTAAGTGAATCAAGGAAACGAGCAGAATTTCATATTGGGGCATTTAAGGCATAGTCCAGCTTTAAAAAAAAAAACAACAATACATACTCACATAATAATAAAAGAAAAAAAAAGCATTTATGATTTTGTTTGCATTTGAACCGGCAAAGTATTGCAGCCACAGTCAGTGGATTGCGAGTGCAATGCTCAGGCTTTTGCAGATTCTTCCTCCCAGCCCCTGTCCGTGCTGAGATACGGCCCTTCAGTTAACTCCGGGAATTTTAAAAACTTACCTCTGCATTGGGCACTGCAAGGGTTAAGTGCTCATTTTGTCTAGGGGAGTCAAATAAAGCAGATATACCCTGATCCTTGGTCACTCAGGCTGCTAGACCTCGCAGCCTCTTCTCCTCAGGGCTGTTGTGGTCTAAGGACCTCTGATGTCTTAATGTCTAATGCAGGTCCAATCACTTGAATTAGAAGTGAGGACACCGAGGGACATCCTATAGCTGCGGCGGAGGGGAAGAGAGGTGAGTGCTGACCACCGCAGGACCGAGGATCAGGTGAGTATATCTGCTTTACTTGACTCCAGTAGACAAAATGAGCACTTAACCCTTGCAGTGTGGGTGTAGCCCTAATGCAAGGGTAAGTTTTAAAAACATTTAGACACAAGAAGAAGTATGAATTCCGGTGACGACAGCTGTGTCCCCATCGTTGCCAAGGCTGCAGGGTGGCAGCAGGTGCCCCTTGCTGAAATCCATGAGGCACTGCTCCATTAGGCATTGTGAGGAGACACTGTAGATCATTGCTTAGCTGGATGCAGAGCAGCAGCAGACCTGCCATCAGTACGGTTGCATGCCGGGGAGTAAGGTCCAACACTTCTTCCACCTGGTCATGTGAACCAATACATGGCTGGGTATTGGAAGAATTTTATCCTCCTGGCTGCACCCATACTTATAGCAGATCTGAAGTAAGTGGGGGAAAGGGGGAGTGTAGAATATCTGCTTTATTCAGCCCCACTGTGCCTGCTCCAACCCCATGAGAGCTTCCAGCTAGCTCAGCTGGGCCACCTAGGCTCAAAGTTTAGTCGATTTACATTTATCAGTTGAAATTCAATATAGTTATAGCCAGCTTTAGCCCCTTGGGTGCTATATATACGTTTTGTTCATTTCTTTATAAAACTAGATACATTTCCCCTTTTCAGCAGCTATAAACTTACTAGAAGATCTAAAAACAAATAGCAGACAAAGGGGGTTTAGAAGGAAAAATAATTCTACATTCTGTACATAGTGTGTTGTGAGCATGTAGCTGGTAAATCAAGGGGTGAAAAATGAATGTTGGGACCCCTGGCCTTGTCTCAGAAGTATAACCTTCTCCACCTCCAGTAAATGCTCTGCAGCTTGTTGTAAAAACATTTGCTATGATGATAAACCCTTTGCTGCCTCTCGTGGTCATAACTGGTATTGCAACAATTTTGCAATATTCATTGTATGTATGTATGTATGAATTCTGTGATCTGCAGCTAGATGTACCATGCATGTATTTTATGATTAGATTCACTAAACGTTTTACTCTGCATGCAGGATCCCGGAGAAGGAGGTGATCACTGGGATAATAAAGCAAGGAGCAAACTGTCTGGAGTCTCAGGGACCAGACACAGCAGGGAACATTTTGGCTGGTGTGGGAGTCTGCAAGGGAACTGCAAGTAATGCCCCTGCTGCACAGGTAACAGAGAGAAATTGTCTGTCAATTCCTGCTAATAAAGGTGTTTTATATTATCATGTCCCTGCAGTAATGCAGTCTGGTTAATGAAGCGCCAAGGCTGATTTAATAAAGAGGCAAAACAACATTTTAGCCTGAGGTCACCAATAGACAGGCATGTAACAAACTGAAGTGGATATAAGTCAGGGTCAGTGTCATGAGCAATCTCTCCAACCCTAACAGAATATAATACATACATCGATCAGCCATAACATTCTGACCACTGAGAAGGGAAGTAAATAACATTTAGTATCTCGTTACAATGGCACCTGGAAGTGGGTGGGATATACTAGGCAGCATCTAAACATTTTGTCCCTGAAGTTGATGTGTTGGAAGCAGCAAAAATGGGCAAGTGTAAGGATTTCAGCGACGTTGCCAAGGACTAAATTGTGATAGCTAGACGACTGGCACAGAGCAATTCCAAAACTGCAGTTCTTGTAGGATGTTCCCAGTCTGCAGTGGTCAGAACCCACAAAAAGTGGTCCGAGGAAGGAAAAACAGTGAACTGGTGACCAGGTCATGGGCAGCCAAGACTCATTGCTGCATGTGGGGAGCGAAGGCTGATCCGTATAGTCCAATCCAATAGAAGAGCTACTGCAGCTCAAATTGCTGAAAAGGTTAATGCTGGTTCTGATAGCCAGGTGTCTAAACACACAGTGCATCACAGTTTGTTGTGTATGGGGCTACGTAGTTGCAGTGCAGACCAGTCAGGGTGCCCATGCTGACCACTGTCCACTACCAAAAGCACCTACAATGGGCATGTGAGCATCAGAACTGGTCCACAGCGCAATGCAAGAAGGTGGCCTGGTCTGATGAATAACATTTTCTTGAATGATTTGAGGAGCACAACTATGAGTTCAAGATGTTGACTTGGTCTCCAAATTCTCCAGATCTCAATCCAATCGAGTATCTGTGGGATGTGCTGAAAAAACAAGTCTGATCCCTGGAGGCTCCATCTCGCAACTTACGGTACTTAAAGGATCTGATACTGACGGATTTGTGCCAGATATCACAGCATACCTCCAGAGGTCTAGTGGAGTACATGCCTCGACAGGTCAAATGGAGGACCTACTCAATAATAGGCGGGTGGTCATAATGTTATGGCTGATCGGTGTATAATATAATAATATATAGCAATATAATATAATACTTATAATACTAATTCTGCTTCACATGCACACATATTATCTTTGTTTAATTTGCTTTAACAGCCTTCCTAATGATGCCCTCTCTCCCACCTCCTGGCCCCATAGCAGCTGCGTAGGCTACTATGGCTATAGTTACACCACTGATTACAGCTCCCTCGTCTACTGGCCCTAGCCTAGGCAAAGACAATTTTACCAGGTCATGAGAGTTCTGTATTTGTTGTCTACAGGGTGCGCTAAACAATACAGAACGCACGGCTCTGTGCAAGGCTACTTGGAGACTTCATTGGCCATAATTGAATAGGGAACTGACCTGTTGACTCCTGGCAGTGTTTTCAGACATCCACATATACTGAGAGGTGCTCTTTTCATAATTTCCAATTAACCCTATGAGCAACAAAAGCTCAGCTCAGTTTATTCCGCAGCAACTGGAGCAGTGCAGCAGAATACAGCTATTTGCCTGTGTTCTAGAATTGTGGCAATGATAATTGGGTAGCAGAAATGGGGTCAAAAGGGCATTAATAGGGTGTCAGTGTTTGCAAGTGCCTAGGGCAGCACAAATGAAATAAGGCCGTGGGTAGAAGACCTCTCCTGTGTTCTTTGCATCAGAGCACCGATATCTAACAGCAATTCTTCTGGGAGCAATGAAAATAGCATAGAGCTGGCATAATCTCTAGCTCATTACCTCTTCCTCCCTCCTTTGCAACGCTGATAAATCCAGTGCAATATGAATGAAATAAAGCTATACCAACAGGTTAAAATAACCGTGAGAATGTGTATTTAACTTCTATGATATTTAAGGCTTATTTCACATCTAATGTACAGTATATTGTATATAAGGATAGTTTGGCTGCATCAACAATGAAAAATGCATGCTATAGATTCAGGCAATACATGGTCTGGTCATAGGGTCAGCAAGACTGATCAAGGAAGCTAATGTGTTATTTACTTTCAATAAGATGTTGTATGAATAATTATTACACATGAGTATTTGGGGGATGGTATTTTCAACCCTGTACAGATAACACATTCTCTTCATCACACTGAATCATACCTTGGCTTGTCATAATTTACTAATGAATCTACATTAAGTTGGTAAACTGGTATCTGACATGATTTTAAAGGAGATTTCCACTGAAAACACACTTTATTCCCTCAATTGCATCAGTTTTGGAACATTTCAGTTCAGGACTTTCAGTTCAAAAATACTACATTTGGATTGCATGGAAATAAACAGTTGTTTATCTTAAAGGGTCTGTCTACCCAAAGGTAAATTTAGTTATAAGAAGATTCTGAAATGTAAAGTTAGCCATTGGCCTCTAAATTGTCTTGGATACTTCAACAGTGAGATCCTCTTGTCATAATTCCCATCTCATGCCCACCTGGGAGTTTTGGGTGTTCTCACCCACCTTTGTGTGTTCAGCATCTCCTGGTATGTTGTTCATAATATAAAATAAATGCAATCCAGCAGGATGAGTGAGCACCCTCATAATGGTCATAGTATAACACACATAATAAACTGTTAGTTGGTTTAATTGTTCATTTGCCAAAAAGTACAATTTTGGGTTGACTGAATTAAATTCAGGTATATTGTGATCATAGGAAGCCTGATTAACACAAGCAATGCTCCAAATGTATTGTGGCAACAATCTGACCATTTCAGATGTTTATGGAAGTTTAAAGGAAAATGTTCCTGTAAGCAGACCTGATGGGCCCTTCCCTTTGCTATTGGGCAAAGAAAAGGATCAAAGTGCCATTTAAATTTCAGTGTCTGGATCAAGTGATGGTTGCAGCAGGTCTTGGTGCTGAAACAAATCTTTAGAGGATGGGAAGAAATCTCCCTTGCCAATATTTTCAAATACATATCTGCTAGTCATTGGCCACCCTTACATTGTGTGTAAAGCAGCTTCCTCCAAGCACATCCCTGCCAAGGAAAGAACTGATGGTGTAATCTAGACATGTAAGCCAGCTAAATATGTATTTCGGATTTTTCTTCTTTCGGGTTTCGGGTCCAAACACCGTTTCGTTATTCGGATTTGGATCTTTCAGATTTTCATTTTAGTTTCGGATGGGGTTTTCTGATTGGCCAGAAAACAGTCACGATTTTGTTTCATTTTGACTGAAATTCGGATGATCCAAAATATAATCAAGAGAACATTTGGATTAGTTTGCATTCAGCCTCAGTGGAATTCGGACATTCAGATGCATCCGAATTCACGAAACTTCGTCTGAATTTGCATTCGGAAAATAGAATGAAATGTACATGTCTAGTGTAATCTAATCTGCTGCTAATGATTGCCTGGCTGCTTGGGGAGAAGTCTTTGTAGGGTTATGTGTGGACAGAAGGCTTGGGTGTGTTAGTAAACTTGTGTTTAGTATGTTGTTGATGTGTTTTCCTTGGTGCCTTAGTCTGGGGTTCTTCTTTAGAGAGGTGATTTTTTTTCCTGGAGAGACGTAGACTAATTTTTTTATAATGCTGTTATCCTTTGTATCCTTTTTTTTTTCACTCTGCTATCTGATTTCTTTCCAACTTCAAATCTCAGGAGTGGGTTCTTAGTGATGCCTTGATTCGACAGCAAGACAAGTGCCTGTCCATCACATCTTTCTCCACTGGGGCCCTCGTCATGCTTGAACACTGCAACCAGAAAGATAGCAGACAGGTAACTATGGTTATAAGCCATGCAGTAGACATTTATATATAGTATCTAGTACTTTCATTACATTGTGCAAAATACAATGATGTTTTCAAAGCTATAACAACTGATCATGTATTACATTGTAGCAGTTTGTATGTAAGAATAACAAAAACGAATGTGTCATTAGTGGTAAATCTTATCTCCGCACATCCATCCTATTATGCAATAAATAAATTAGTAATTCTGTAAACAAATGTAACTGAAGGTGATTTACCCTGAAATACGGTAATGTTTAGTATTCCATAGGCATGTCATTGCTTTTTGGGGTTTCTTTGATAATGATTGAGATTATAAACATATATATATCAAACCAACCATAGTCCTACTTGTCCTGTTAATAATATTATTATAATATTATTATTATAATAGATAATATTATTATCTACGGTGCTGGGATCACGGGACTCCACTCCGTAAATTATAAGTAAACCAAAATAGTTAGGATGAAGTAAGCTGGATTTGTGTGCAGAATATATATATTTGAGAGGGGGAAAAGTAAAAGTGCCCATTTGCACCCCCTTACGCATTTTCCATGCGTTTTCCATGCAAAACTATTCTCTATGAAAGATGCATTGTTGGAAACTGCACTAAAAATGTAGCAAGCATGGATTTTTAAAGATGTGCAACACTAAAACACATAGATGAGTTGAATTATGGTCACATTAAATGATAATCCTGTATTGTAGATATAGTCCTATATATTCAAACAATACTGTGGTCTGTGGCTGTGGTGTAGGAACAAAGGATGCAGTGCATCACCTCTATGTTCTGGCAAAAAGTTAGGGGGGTTATTCGCACTCCCTGCACCTTACTGCCAATAGAAAAGCATGGAGTTATGCAGATTGTGTCTTTGGAGATGGGAGACTGAAGGTGATTTACAGCACAGCTGTTCAGGGAAGCTACACATTGAAGTGGTGATCAGGGATGCTACCCCATGCATTCTAATTTTCCTGTGAAGCTCTGCTCTGGATCATATGCATTATTCAGAAAGGATAGTCCCATGTCTATTGGCACTCTCTGTCATACTTTAAGTTTTATTCCTGGGCAGAAAAGCGTGGTGCAGCTGGGAAATCACACAACAAAAGGGGGCCCAGAGAGGCACAAAGTAAAGCAGGCCAGGTCCAAAATTTGCATTTTGCCACCTACATCTGTAGCTGTGACAATTGCTATGGTCATGTTATTTGGGAACATGCAGTGTACATTATAGAATACTACATACACATCAAGCACTGCTTTCAAACACTATGTGTATCTGGTCCGTATTATCACAAATAATCAGACATGTCCTGTCTGATCACAGTCAAGGGCCCTTTTCTGCGGGCAGGGGGGCTTATAGGAATCTGGGTGCCTCCTTTGATAAAGGCGGCACCCAGATGCTGCCCCCCCCCCCCCCCCCACGTGAATGAGTAAGGGGTAGAAGTTACCCCTACTCATTCACTAAGTTAACAGAAATGTAAAATAAAAACGCAATGCTGTTTTTAACAAATCATTTATTAAAAACAAAAATGTCCTACGATGTAGAATCCTGGATCCTGACAGCAGCCGACCCAGTCCCCGCCGACCCAACGAAAAAAATACCCGCCGTTTTCCGCCCAACAGAATATTTACATTGTGCAGTGGGTGAGAAATAAACAAAGCTTGGTATTGGCTATTTCAAATTGAAATAGCCAATAGCAGGCTAGCTAATGCACCTACCCACCGCCTTCTGTCAATCCACAGAGGAGGACCTGAGAGAGGACTTTGCTATTGGCTATTTCAAATTGCAATAGCAGGATGGCTATTGCACCCGCCCAATGTCTGCTGTCAATCAGCAATGTCTGCTGTCAATCAGACCTGAGAGAGAAAGTTCTCTCCCAGGTCCGCTCCTCTGCTGATTAATGTTCCCATGCAATGCTTCTACAGTGATGACCACAATTAGGGATGTTCCGATGCCACTTTTTCAGGCCCAAGTACAAGTACAAGTACATCCCCTCATGTACTTGCCGATACCAATTACCGATACTTTTTCTTAAAGGGACAGGTGACTTTAAATGATCCATAGTACAACTACATGTTATGTACTATGGATCATGGTTTAACCTATTCATGTTAGCAGTGGAGAATTGTAACTCTATTGCTGGAGTGTAGTGGAGGTGTGTGCTGTACATATGTACTACATATACATTACACACGTCCAGTACACTATAGCAATAGATTTACAGCCAGCCCCGTCCCAGCTTCCCTTACTCACAGTTTCACTCCGATCCCGGTTGCCTCAGGTGGTGCCTCTCGTAGTCGGCGCTGGGCACGATCGCTGCATCGCATCTCGTTGCTCAGCTTGTGGGAGGCGCTCACAATTCTGCCCTGCTAACATGAATAGGTTAAATCATGATCCATAATACATATACAGCACATAC